CCCCTGACTCCAGGTGCTTTTGCTCTTCCCTGGGCTGTCCAGGCAAGCTGAGCTTCCCAGTGCAACAAAGGAAAGGAAGAGCAAGTATGACATCAAGGTGGCATACTGGCTCCGCAGCTGTCCCCTCTGCAGGGGTGGGGTTCCCGTGGGGTTCCCTCCCACCACCAGCACCCTGGCTGGCATTTGAGTGGATTAGGCTCTGGGGGAGTGGTTTCATGATCCCAAGAGAAAATGCCTTTTCCCTGGGGTCAGAGGCCCAGTACAAGTTCTGCATGTCTGTGGTCACTTCAGTCATCTAGTATGGAGGAAGAAAGAGAATGGGCAGAAAAAGAAGAGAGATGAGGGGCATGAAGGAGAGATGAAGATAAAACAGTACAAGATGAGAAAGAGCAATTTAAAAAAAGAATTTCTTATCCAGCCCCTTAGGAATTTCCTCCCAGTGAGGGCTTGGCTGGCTGTGCCAGCGGCTCCCTTGCCCATTATAGATCCTAGGGATACATTTTCCTGAAGACTAGTTGTCTGCAGAACTGGGGAAACAAACCAGAGGCCTTCATAAATCAGCAGAGGTCACTGCCAAGAGCTTTGTACACTTGCTGTCCCTGGCAGTGATAAACTCATTGCATTTGGGACATGGCCAAGGCCCCCGAGCTCAACCTTAATTCTCATTCCCAGAAACATCTCGGCTCTCGGTTCACCCACCCTCTGTTTGCTGTCTTTGTGTTTCCTAGACAAAGCTGGCGAGGAGGAAGCAGCATGCTTCCATAACTGGGCACATCAAAGGCTGTGTTTCTGTGCTTGGGAGAAAGCTGGCAGGGTAGGGGAGAGTCTCAGATCCTTAGGCTGCTGGGAAGAGAGGCTCAGGCAGGAGTCAGGCTGGAGCCACAGGCCCTGCAGGATTGGGGGATCTTTTTCTCTTCAGACCTGTGCCTTGGGTCTGCTGATGGTGCTTTGGCTGGAGTCATGGAGTGGTCGTAATGATGGCCAAGGGGTCTTACTCCCTACTTCCTCCCTGTAGCCTTGGTGCCTGGCAATGGCATTGGCCCTGGAAGCAGGAAAGGTGAGCGTGATGGCATACTGCCCCTCCTGCCCACACCTTTCTTCCCTGTTTCCTCCCTGCCCCCAAGTCACCCCTTTTGCTCCAGCTGATCAGATTGTGGGGCCACATGGTCAGCCCCCAGAATCGGGGGCTCACTGCTCCCTGCCTGCTCACATCTTCCTGCTTGGATAAGGGTCACTCTGAGATTGACAGTTCACTATCCCCCACCATTTCCTAGGAGGGCTGCTTGTCCCACTTTGACCTTGTACTTCTTTGGAGCCATTTGCTCTGCAAGCCATGTGCATCTTGGTGCAAAATCTTCCTCGCCTAGGAGACTTCAGGCTGTATGGCAAGAGACTTGTGTGTCTTGCTCGGGCTATAATGTTGGCATCTAGTGCCCGATAGATGCTCAGTGGATGTCTGCAGAACATTGTTGTAGCTAAGTGCAAGCATCTGCCTTATCTTGCTCTATATCAATCGACATAGCTCTTCTAATAGGCCAGGCTTTTCCTTCCCACAGTGAAGCCTTAAGAATTAGCAGGATGGTGAGAGAAATGCATTACCAGGCCAGGAGGGGCTGGGCTCAAAGAGGCTTCCTGCTTCCTCTTGAGGCAGCAGGGGGATATCTTGAGATACAACCTGGGGCACTTGATTTCTCTGTGGAGTCAGAGCAAGAAACAGGGACCCGTTGCTTTGGGCAGGAGTTTGGAAAGGGTCCACGTGCCTTTCCTGCTGACTCAGGAGCGACCTACCTCTGGCAGCCAGGCACAGCAAGACCTGACACACAAAGGGAATGGTGTGAGTCATCTTTACCTGGGTTAATGTCTGTGCCCAAGATGTATGCCTGAACAATTGACAGTGACAATCAAGCCAAGGCCAGGGCTTCCTGGTCTGGTCTCAGAGAAGAGCAGGGATGAAAGAAGCAAAGGCTTCTCTACTTTGGAGCTGATTGGGACCCTCACCCTCTGTCCATATGGACAGCAGGATCTGGATGCAGTCACAAAGCCAATCTGGCATGGAGCATGGTTCCAACACAGAGCTCTGCCCTGTGGGTCCTGTATTTATAAAAGAGAAAGGGACCTGCATTGTGACACAGCAGGTTAAGCTACCACTGGGATGCCCAGTCCTGGCTGGGCTGATCCTATACTTTAGATCCAATGTTTGCTAACACACATGGGAAAATAGAGGCAGATATTCCCAAGCACTTGGGTTCCTGCCACCTATGTGGGAGACCCAGATAGAATTACTGGTTCCTGGCTTTGACCTGATCCAGCCTCTGGCCTGATCCAGCCTCAGCCATCTGGGGAGTGAACCAGTAGATGGGAGATTTCTGTTTCCTTCCCTCTCTCTGTCTCTCTACCTGTCAAATAAAAACATACTCTTCCCCCTCTCAAGGAACTCCACTACAATGGGCTCTGCTTCTGTTGGGAATTTTCAGAAAAAATACTCTGCGAGACCATGTCCCTAAGAAGTGTGTCCATTCCGACTTCCTCTAGGATGTGTCAGCAGGCCCCAGAGCCAGGCCGACCTTCAGCTTCCTTTGATTCCTGTTAAAAAGTCAGTTACCATAGGTGGGGCAGCACCCTGCTTTTGAAAATATGGGGACTTCTAAGGGAGGGTGAAGCAGGTGCCAAATGACTCTGTGGGATCCCAGTGGGGCAGAACAAAGAGTCCCACATGTGACCAGGAAATGCCTTGCTTTCTATTTTAACCTTTTTTTTTTAATCATAAAGAAAAATTTAATGTCTTTATGGTGTTCCACTTGATACTTAGATATGCACATTTGATATGTGAGAATGGGGTCTTTCAACCCAGCTATGAAAATGGACTTAAAATGAACTCTTAGCAGTTTTGGGGTAGACAATGTGTTATGAGCCATCATCATCACGATGCGCCATTGAGCTCTTAAGCGCTTCCTTGTGTGTCACTGAAATGTGTAGCTTGACCGACATCTCCCCAGTCTCTGCCATTCCCTGAAAACCACCGTTCTCCTCCCATCTTCTATGAGTTTGCCTGTTTGATCCCACATGCAAGTGAAGGCATGAACACAAAATTGATCCCTCTAGGCCTGGCTTCTCCAGGGTCATCCTTGATGTTGCAAATAACAGGATCGCCTTCTTTTTAAGGCTGGATATTGATCCTGTTTTTTAGATACCACATTTCTTTATACCCTCTCATGCATGCCACACAGGTTAATTTTGCACATTGGCAACTGGGCTTCTGCCTTCTTTTATGCTGGGGAAGGAGAGTCTTGGCAAGCCCTGGCCATGACGTCAGCTTCCTCTGGCCTGGTGTCTGTAGAACACGTCCTTCAACTCAGAGGAGGCAAAGTTCCTCTTTCCCTTCCCACCCCTCCCCTACCTCAGGAAGAGAAGCTAAGGAAGAGGGCATCATTAGCCAGCCCTGCCTCTTGGCTGGGCACCATCTCCTCACTGACCAGCTCTGCCCTCCCCTCCCCTCTACGCCAAGCACCAGGGCCTTTGCTTAGCTTCTTGGTGGGAACAATGAGCCCAAAGGGGGAAAAACACTTCCTGTCTCAGCCACCAGCTAGCAACCCTACCTCTCCCAACAGGTCGTCCGTAGGGACAGCCCAGCTCTTCCAAGCTGAGACTGACCCCATTTCTAGGGACGAAGACTCCCTTTTTTTCTTTTTCCCACCTCATATTCTCTCTTGGGCTGGACCAGGACTTTCCTGCCCATCATGAGGATCAAGCTCCAAAAAGGATTGGCTGGATGCAGGAATTAACTGGAAGCCAGGCGGGCCATCCATTGCCAGGACCAGAATGTAAATGCCTCTAGGTGCCTAGGAGAGGCTGTGACTCCAGGCCACTGCACCTGCCTCTTCCGGGCACCGGCCACAGGCCTGGTTATTAGCCATCCAGTCCTCTGCTTTGCTTGCCAAGAGCCCCTTTACAAGACGAAAAGGTACACACTGACCCAGCTGCATGGGTGACTCTTCATTTATTACTATTTTGTGTATTTATTTATTTGAGTGAGAGAAAGAATGAGTGTGACCTTCTCTGCTGGACCAGTTTCTCAGTGCCCACAACAGCTGTTATTGGGCCAGGACCCAATTGTTTAAACCACTCCTACTGCCTCCCAGAGTGCACAGGAAGCCAGAGTCGGGAGCCAGAGCTGGGAATTGAACCCAGGACATTGTATGCACAACAAGGGCCTCCTGATAGGTTAAACACCTGCTCCCTAACTTTTGAGCTACTTGTAGATGGATACGCTGTGTGAAACCACACAAGGGCAATGTCAACCTCTTTCAAATCCATCGATACGGCATCACAAGCAAGACTTTGACACAACTGTAATTCATACAGTTTGTTCAGACTTGCCAATTTTACTTCCACTCCTGTGTTTGTGAGTGTAGCTGTGTAGTTCTATACAACTTAATCACACGTGTAAGACTGGGCTGGTTAGAGAACCGTGCAATGACCACAAATTTCCTTGTTCTCATCTCCCTCCCTTTTCCCTCCTCTGCCTCCCTGCTTTTCTTCCCTGTTTCCATCTCCTCCATCTCCACCCCCTTGGCAACCACTAAACTGGTCTCTGTTTCTGTAATTTGTCATTTCAAGACTGTAGTATAAATGGAATCCTGGAGTCTGTAACCTGGGGCTTGGTTCCCTCGCTCATCACAGTTCTCTTGGGCTTCATCCAAATTGGGTACAGCAGCAGTTTGCTCCTGCCTGCTGCTGTGCCTGAGATTTCCATCATAAGCATCCAACATGGCTCCCAGGCCAGCTACCAATCCGTTGGGACTTTGGTCTCATAGCTCTTTTAGTCCAAGTTTTGCAGGTGTGTGGGGTGGGGTGAGGTGTGGAGGGAGGCAAAACATGACACAGTGTTTGGTAAGTTCATACCCGTGTAGCCAGGGCCCCCTGTTTCTCCATTGGGCTGTGGGGTCCCTTGGTGTTGGCTGACAGCTCATCCCATGTCTCTCTGCCTCTTCCTCCCCCAGGAGCACATTTACAAGCTGATGAAGAGTGACAGCTATGCCCGCTTTCTACGGTCCAATGCTTACCAGGACCTGCTGCAGGCCAAGAAGAAGGTATCGGGGAATGGCAGGCTTTGCCTTCCTTGGCTCTGTCAATTCTGCGTGCTGCTTGCTGCTGGGGTGAAACGAGAACGCCATCCCTTGGGTTTCCTTTCTTTCCTCTTCTTTCCCCCCTCTGTCCACTCATACTCCAACGAAAAGCAGTTTAGGACCACTGCCACACCCTCCCTCACCCAGGATCTGGTGTGCTCCCTCTAGTCCCCACCCCTGCCTGCGCATGGAAGGACAACGGTGTTGTGATCCAGTGGGTGGGCCCTGGAGACGTTCAGGATTGGTGGGGACACCAGTGGGCCCTGGAGGTGTCAGAAAGCACCCAGCCCCATTGCACAGATTGTCCATCCCTGACTAGCCCAGAAATGAGTGCAGGGCAAGGACTGGGGCAGCCACCTCACTGGGAAGGAAAGCTAATCCATTTTGGGAGACAGGGAGGGACTGGAGGTTTGCCTAAGGTCGTCCTTAGGATTGGGCCCTTCCTGGCCCGACCCCCAACCCTCAGTGTTTCCTCTTTCATTTAACCGAGAGGAAGAGACTGCACTGAGGCCCCTTCCGCTTCCGGCACTCAGAGTGGCATCAAGGTTCCCTGCAGCTCTTGCAATCGTGGAATTGTGTGCTCAGAAAGCTGGGCGTGCATGTGATGAGATTGATGGGTGTGATTCATGCAGGGATGAGCTTAGCTAGGCTTTGGGGAGGAGGAAAGAATGAACTTGGGAAGGCACGGGGGCTGCGGAAGAGGAGGTGAGAGAGATGGCTTGTAATTCTGTGACACCTGCCAGTCCTCTGTACTGTGCGGCTCTGACCTGAGACCTCATGTGGTCAGGTGTGGCTCTACTTGCCCAAATTCCTTGACTCCTGTGTTTGCATAAGCAGAGCGTGTGACTCCCTTTCTTGTCCCCAACAACAGCCTCCCAACCCCCATTCTTACACGTGTGGTTGTCCGTCCTTGGGTTCTCTGTTGGGCAGCCTTGCTCAACCATGCAGCCCTTCTTTGTGCTGTCAGTTCCCCATGCCAGGACCTTGACCGTGTGTCTGGTTAGCACCGTGGAACTCCAGAGTCTAAGGGAGTCGGTCTCCTGATCTCCTGCCCTTAGGCAGCCCCAAGATACTCAGAGCCCTGGTTTTTGGCATCCCATACACCCTTTCCTTCTCTCAAGCGTAGCTCCTCCAGTGGAAACAGCAAAAAGCCTGGCTTCTTGCTCACTCCCCTTGCAGGAGGCTGTCATTAGCAGAGTAGGGGTGAGCTATTGGTGGAAGGGAGGCTGGCACCCTTCTGCCCCTCAAATGGCCCTGATGCCTGTGGTTTTCAAGTCCGGAAGGAACCAGCAAATGGAGCCTTTTGAAAACTGCAGCCCAGATCTCAAAGTAAGTTTTCCTTTTCTCAAAGTAAGCTTTCTTGTGGCCCAGGTTACCTATGCTGCTCACAATTGGGGGACTTTGCAAGACTCCAAGGTGTTGGCCACCCCTAGCAGAGGAGCTGCCCAAGGCCACTCAGTCCCCCTGTGAAGGCAGGTGCACCTGGAAGTGGGCAGAGACACCTACACCTGCTTAGCCTTCCTTACTTTTCAGAGCAAGGAGAGGAGGAAGAGCCAGTGGTGGTTATAATTATCCTCCCAGCCCCTGGAGGAGGAGATGTTCTTACAGCAGGAAACCCTGGCAGACACCAAAACCCTCTTGACACTGAGGAGTTCACTGTTGCCCCAGAGTGGTGACAATGGCCATCTGCCCCTTCTGGAGAAGCTCCAGGTGTGGATCTGATTTCCACTTCAGGTAGGCTCCAAGTGTCCTTCACTGTGAGTTGGGCTTGCCGTGTGACAGCAGTGCCCAGGTTGCACAAGGTATGTGAGGTGTACAACCTTCAGCTAAGAGAGGGGACAGGAACTGGCCTCCCCTTGTGGTTGGGAGCTGCTCCTGCTGTAGTCTGTAGGCCCAGCCTTCTCATCCAAGTCATTCTCTTCACAAGAGAATGGTACAGAAGTCTCGGGGGATGGAAGGGATGGGTTGGAGGACTGCCCCAGGATAATTAATCACCAATCGTGTTAGTTTCCTGGGGCAGCTCAGAGGGCATCTGCAAGTCCAAGGACCTTGAGCCAAACCAGCCAATGGCTCTCCTCTGTGAACAGCAACCTAGTAGCCGGAGGACAATGATGACAGGCACAGCGCTCGCTGAGGGGCTGGGGCCTACCTGACTTGAGCCCAATGTGCAGTGCGCAGGCTGCCCACAGGTTCAGGGCTGAGCTCCGGCTGGTTCCCAGGCCAGGCGTGGTTACTTCCCTTCCTTGTCCAGGCAGCAGCCCAGCCCTGCTCCAGGGCAGTATGTTGCGTTGTTGTATTGTCCTTCGACAATCTCGTGCCTGTTCCAGCACCTGGCTAAGCAGACAGAGGCACATCTGCCAGGAAGCCCCTCTGGCTCTGTCCACATGGAGTGGCCTCTCTGCTCTCAGCACATCCCGTAGGGCCTAAACTACCTGGCTGGCCTCTGCAACTCTGTCCTTCCATTGTGCGCTGGGTGTCTGGGTGTGTTCCTGTGAGTGTGTACACCCTTTCACTCCCCTAGCTGTGAGTGGGCTCAGGGCCATGGAACAGGGCTCTAGGATGAAGTTAACAGGTATCTGGAGTGGAATCCTCCTCCCGCCAAACACCTGCAGGTAGGAAAGATGGGGAGAGGGCCATCCCTCACATCTCTCCCTCCTGCTACAGTATGGAATTTACCTCCCCTTGACCTTGGCTCCCTCCCTCAGAGATGCCCAAGCGTCTGAGTACAGCTTGGAAGGTGCCACCTGCCTGCCTGGGTGCTGGGAGCATGTGCTAGCCAGAGTGCTGTCCATGCCACCATCCTCTGAGGCCCCAGACCATTTGTTCTTGCCTAGGATGTGGACAGAGCCTCCTTGGGCTATGACTCCAGGACAAGGACATGGACATTAATGATGATCTTGTCTAGCTGCCTCTGAATAGCAGGAACGGTCTTCAGCCAGGCTCACAGATAAGTTGATGGCTTCCTGACATCCCCTTGCCGTAGCTCTCACCACCTGCCCACCTTAGAGCTAATGTGTCCCAGGTCATCACTAAGCTACCCAGAGGGCTGCCTGGAGTCTAGTGGCCCTGAGCATGGTGGGCTGTGGCTTATGGGCAAAGGCTGTGACAGCCAGCAGCTCCGAGCACCAGCTGAGGAACCCCAGGCAAGGTCATGGTGGGATCAATGTCAAGCTTTGCCGTACAAGTCCTGGCTCTCCTGCAGCCAAGCCCCTGTCTGCCCCACCCAGGAGGCAGTTCCGTTTCTCCAGACTTCTCTTTTCTGTCTCTCCTGTTGACTCTGCCAATAGCTCTGGCTGCTTTACCTTCTGTGTTTTTGTGGGGTTTTTGTTTTTTTCGTTGTTTTGTTTTTTGGCCCCATTTGGCTTTCAGTTGTGGTGTCCTTTACCCATGGCTGCTGCTGTTTGGAGACCATACATAAGCTCAAGATTTTTTTCCCTGTATTTTTCCTTTTTTCTTTCATTTGTTTTTTTTTTCCCCCCTCAAAAGCCAGAAAGTGAGCAAGGTCGTAGAACTTCCCTAGAAAAGTTCACTCGCAGTGTGGTAAGTTCAGTGGGTTTTCTCCCCGCCTCGTTTTTGTTTTCTGCAGTTGTGGTTTCTTCCTTGGTGGTTGTCCTCCTTGGGGGTGGGAGGGAGCCCAGTGCTTTCCCCCTTCCACCCACCCCCCTGTACTTTTGCAAGTGTCTGCAGGTGGATTTTGCATAAAGGAGCAAGCAGCTACTGCTGCTGCAGGCAGGTGCACCCGACCACCCAGCTCAGGTCGGGGTGTGTGAGCTTCTGTTTAGGGCTCAAAAAAGGCCTCCACTGCCCTAGTAGGATGGGGATGGGGTTGTGTTGTGGGTGCCTCTCCCACACCAGCCCAGGGAAGAAGAGCATATTGAACTGCATCGTGAGATAAATTGGTTCAGTGCCATGGCTGATCTCAAAAAAAAATCCAGATTTCCTCCTGTGAACTCTGGCAGGTGCACTATGGGCCGCATGCTGCTGCTGCTGCTGCTGCTGCTGCTGCTGCTGCTGCGGTGGTGGCGACTTTTGCTGTGTGCAGGACACGGCTGTGCTGCATGGATTCTGGTGTTGTAGCTCAGCTGGCGTGTATGTGAGCCACCTCTGCATGAGCTCATGTCCCCTTGCAGCCCTGGTAAGCTTCCTTTGCAGTGACAGGAGAGCAGAGAAGTAGCTGGGGCCCCACGCCATCTCGTTTCTCCTCCAACCCCACTTGGGACCAAGGTCTAGCCAAGCTCCCCAAGCCTTAATTCCTGATGGAGTAAAGGTGGGATGCCAGTTTCCTGCCATTAGAAGGAAGCAGCCAGTCCCTTCCACCCCCGCCATCCCCCATACACCCACCCAGCAGCACAGGAAGAGCCTCAGTGGTAACAGGTGCAAGGGAGTAGGTTGCCCTGGTGGCACATAGTGGAGATTCTGTTCCATGGCCTGTAGGCCAGGGTGTAGAGCCTTTGCCCTTTTCTTGTCTCTCCCCAAAATTTAAGCAAGGGACTTATTACACAGAAAGTCCTCAGTTCCACCCATTCCATTGACTCTTCCAACAGGTTCACAGGCCCAGCCTGTATTGATGGCAACCAGGACAGGGATCCCATTTCCAGAAGGTAGGAGGAAGTTTGTTGGTGTTGAGTTGCCTTTTTGCCTCTGTTGAAGAGGAAAGTCCTTGCCAAGCCTGACTCCTCTATGATTAGTATCCTTAGTTCATGCTTTTAACACCAGTTCTAAGAATCCTGGGTGGAAAGCAAGCTAGTCATTTACTTGTCATAGCTAGATGCATTTTAACTGCATTGTAACAGTATTTTGAATTTGTGGGATATAGACATCATACATTCTCATAGGGGGATTAAAGTGGGGGTACGCATCCCTTTCCCTCTTGGGTCGTCTCCCTCCCTGTGGGCTTTTCTCGTGAGGAATCATGAGAATGTAAGACCTGCTGGCTCCATGTCTTTGTCAGGAATGCCACGCCA